GCAGTGGGCAAGACAGGAGAGGTTTGGAGAGATCTGCATGACCATGTGGATTAGCTTCCTGGCCAGGGATCGAACTCATGCCACAGTGGCTGGTGATAGTTTGATAGCTCTGAGACTCAACCCTGAACCATCCTGATCCCAGATCAGGATTTTTTAAAAAAGATTTATTTTATTTATTTATGCATACAAGAGCTGGGGTGTAGGCCAGAGGTGCCGGGGGGGGGGGGGCGGGGATGGGAGGATTCACCAGAGACAGAGCAGGGAGCAGACAAAGCAGATCCACTGAAATATACTGCTGAGGGGAGCAGCGGCCTAGATAGGAGAGGTCTGCTGCACCATGTGGGTAGCTCCCTGGCCAGGATCAAACTCATGTTGCAGTGGCTGCTGATAGCTTCATAGTGCTGAGACTTAACTCCTTTCGCCACCAGGGAGGCCCCAGATCAGCTTTTAACAAGCTTTCCAGGTGGTTCTCAGGTCTGGGGGGTGGTGGTGGGGTCTAGTGGGCAGAGCTGGGGCAGGGAGTTTGATGCTTATCCCCAACATGGGCAGCAATAGCAGCTGATAGGAGATACGGACTCCTTGAACCACTAAAACAGACTCCTTGAACCCAAATACCTTTCTTGTCAACTTGTCACAGTGCCTAGAATTCCATCAACTCTCTTTTCTCCAGAATAAAGTTCCATGCTCCGTCCTCACCCATCTTCCCCTCCATATAAACTCATTAACCTGGGTGTACCAAACACTGAGGAGGAGAGACTGAGTTTTATTTGGGTGTGAGTGACTTCACTGGATTCTCAGGCTTCTGTCCCTGGGGTGTTGGCAGGAAGAGAGACATTCTAGAATCTTATCCTAAGTCCTTGGAGGATATTTATAACTGAACACAGTATCTCAATGAAGGGCCAGAAAGACCCTGTTGTCAAGGCATTGCCTCCTTGCTTATCATCTCCTCCCTTCGTCACAATTGCTTCCCTGCTCAGTTCACAGCGCCTGTACTCACTCTCCCTTTTTCTCCCCAGCCACCCTGCCCTCCAGACAGACCCATTTACTCTTAGGCCTCCACGATGAGAATGGCTTAAAGAGGCTCCATGGTCAGTGTGATTAAAGTCCAGAATGCAAGGGAAGCTTGGATTTTAAGAAGGAAGGAAGTTGAGGTTGAGGAAAGGGTGATTGTTCAAAACCCGAGAGACTTCACCCTATTTATAAACTGTGAAGTTGCCAAGAGAGCAGATAAGAATGAAACACAAAGAAGAGCGAGCAGGAGCAAGATCTGAAGAAAAGCAGAGGAGATGCCTTTATGATCTCAGAGCGAAGAATGAGTTTGTAAAAGGGAACAAAGGTCAGGAGAGGAGAATGATGTTGGATGGTAAGAGACTAAGGCATGGGGGCAGGAAGTTGAGAACTCACACTCCAGCACTCCCATTCTCTCCAAAGTAGGCAATAAAGTCAATGGGTGGGGTGCTGGGTGGGGTGGGTGAAAGACAGATCCCCCCACAATTTGTTATGATCGGTGTGTGTGATGCCTTTCCCCTGCAGCTCAGCCCAGGTAGTTTTAGGGTGATTTGATTTATAGGTCTCTTGATTTATATTTGTTCATTGTCTGTCTCACTAGCCTATGAACTCCATGAAAACAAGGGCTTTGCCTTTATTTTTACCACTGTTTCCAATGCCCAGGCCAACACATTAGCACTCCGTAGGTATCTGTGAGTTGGTGAATGAATGGCTGGTATCCCAGCCTCTTTTCCTGCCACTGTCTGCCTTCCCCTGTAACAATGCAGGGTAGTGGGCATTTGGACCCAGAGTCTGACACTCAGGAGCTGTGCATTCTAATTCCAGTCACCTCAGCTGGACATGCGAGTTCGGATGTGCTACCTGTCTTCAATCTGCCATTGCTGCTGGTTTCCAATAGCTGGCTGGGAGGGGAAGCAGAGGCTGGGCAAGTGTGGGGGTGGGGGGGTATTCTGGCCCCGCTTTTGGTTCTCCCCATTTCTCATAGCCTAAGACATTTTTATCAGTGAGCCTGTTGCAATTCTGAATGCCGTGAGGGTGGGATAGTAGCTAAAAGCACCACACCAGTCTCAACTCTCACTTCCCCAAAAGGCATTTCCAGGGAGTCTGAAAGAAATCATAATTATGTATACTAGAAACTCGGAGACAGTATTTTTTTCAGCGTTTCCTTTTTTTTAACCAAGATCCTTAGTAAAACAGACAGTTTATAATGGGATAACTACGCATTTATTCACATATCTTATCACAAATTTCACAAAATATCTTTATTGCAAAATATCTTTGATAAACTGAGATTTTCTAACCTATTCTATCCCATTTCCATGAAAAAATAAAAGGACTGGGTGTAAGTCCCTAAATTTAGTTCACAACCCACTAATGGTCATGTCCTACCTATTTAAAATGGGTTTTTCTCATGAAAATAAATGACATCAAATAGACATGTGTCCCAAAAGTTATGGGTAGAATGCATGTGTGTATGTAGTGGGGGTGGGAGGTCAGGGTTTCAAGAAGTTGGACTTGGAAGAGGACTCGAGAAGTGTTTGTGGGAAGACACAGACTTGCAAACAGCTCAGTGGGAAGGTGGGGAGACCTGAACTCAAATCCAGCTCTTTCCTGGCTGCTAGGAGGGTTTCATGACCTTGATCACAAATCCATTTACCCAAGGCCTGTCCAGGCACAGCCACTGACCACGTGAGGCTAGCCTCTTGGGAATTGCTGTCTGGTTAGTTGGGGCTGGATGAGCTGTAACTATAAAATGCACTCTAGATTCCAAAACTCTGGTATGAAAGAAGAACATGAAAGATCTCACTTATAAATGTTTGTATGGTTGCACGTTGGGATGATACTACTGTGGACATATCAGGCTGGGTAAATATGATATTAAAGTTAATTTCAGAATAGTTCCCCCTTTTAAAATTTTTTCTCCCATTTGAAATCCACCCTTCACCCCCAGCCCCGCCTTGCTTACGTTCACATTCTTAGGATCTAGGCATGCTAATCTACTGGTGTGAAAATTGTGTTAAAACAGAATGGAATTCAACAGAAGAGTGGGTAAATAGGCTGATATATCCATACCCATGAAATGCTACCCAGAAATTAGAATGAAATTCCTGATACACACAATAGCATAGATAGATCCTGTCAACATGGATTTTAAGGAAGGAAGCCAGGTACCAGAGGGTACAACCTGGTGAGTCTCTTCACATGAAGGTCAAGAACAAACTAAACTACTTACTCTCTGGTGGTACAGATCAGAACAGTGGGAGGAAAGGGTCTAATTGGAGAGGGGTCTGAGAGAACGTTCTGGGTGATGGGGATTTCTACATCTTGTTTTGGGTGGTGGTTTAAAGAATACAGAAAACGACTAAAAGCATTAAGCTGTACATTGCAGACCTATGTATTTTACTGATGTTGATTATGCCTCATTTAAGGTTTATAACAAAAAAAGCTGCCCTTAAAGTACTGAGCTGTCTGGGCAGGGAATGAAATTTGCTGGTAGGAACTGTGGACTATTGAATTCCTCTGGGTAATGGGGTGGAGGAGAGAATTTGGAGCTCGGCGGGGAGAAAAAGCTGAGAAGGAATGGGAGGAGGAAGTGAGGAAGGTGGGCGAAGGAACTGGTTGAAAGTGCTCAGAAATGTAGTTGCCAGCAACATTTTAAGGACCAGGCTACATTCCCTTCAATCTGCAGTTGTTTGCGTTGCTGCATTAAAGCTGTCTCCTCTGGTCCTCTGCTCAGACTTCAGTAAAGTCTACTGCATCTGCCAATGCTTTCGTGAGCAGTTTTGTTTTGGGGGTGTGTGTAGCCAAGAGACTGAGTTTCACCCCTGGGTCAGAGAAGTGTGGAACAGAGGCTCACGCTCAGGGACCTGGAGCTAGTGCTAATCATAGGAAAGAGGTGTCCTCCTGGGGAATCCACCGAAGTCTCAGGGAGGGCTTGACTTTAGCAGGGGGTGGAATCAGCGATTGAGCTGCCCTCAATCCAGATCTCAAGGGTCTGGGATACTATAGATAACATTTAGGCTATACATGAGTAGTTCTTGGGGAACCTCTTGTTCCCAGACTGTCACTGCCCATGTTCAGTGAGGCCATGTTCCCACCTGACCTCCTCGACAATGGCCAATGTCAGCGCCAGAAATGGCTGTATGTATAGTTGATGGAAGCTTAGCATCCAAGCCTGCATGGGGATAAGCAGGATGGTCTAGCTGAAGGGAGTCCAGCCTCTCTTTTCCCTTCTCTATCCTTTCATTTCTGTGAAAGGCTGAATATAAATCCTATGGAATGAAGGATAGGGTGAAGTGAACATATCCTTTTAGGGTTGTGCAAAGCCAGGCTCATTCTATATGCTTCCTTCAGTGTGGCAGCTCTCAGATTAATCTTGTTTGATTTATTTCATGACAGGACTCGACTCTGTTAATACATTTTAAAATGGCTGTAGTTTTTGATTCCATAAAAGCATTTCTAGAAATCAAGCCCAGGAAGTAAAACCTAAATACACAGATATGTTTACCTCCGTAGTGAGAAACAAAGAGCCTAGCAGTCGCTGGTTGTAGGTTTTTTCTTTCAAGGGCACCAAGATGTATCCCAAAGTTTGCATATTCAATGCCTTGACCCCCACTTCCGCCTCCAGCACAGACCCAGTAAGGTCCTCTCAACTGTCAGTTACCAAAACTCACCATCATAATTCAGAGAGTAATAAAACCCCCTTTACAGCACACACATCTCACTCCCAGTCATTATGTCATTTCAACCTGAGGAGGCTTCTATTGCCCCAACCTATATAGGAGGAATCTGAGGCCCTGAGAGGTGAAGGGATCCTGAGGCCACCCAGCCAGTGACTGGCAGGGCAGATTCTCCAACCAAGACCCTAGACTACAGTCCCCTAGCCCAGGCCCAGCTGATCACTCCCAGGAACACATGCCCAGATGCCCACACTGACAGATGCCTGCCATGGAGAAGCAGGAAAGTGACCCTGGGAAAGCCAAGGGGCTTACCTGGGTCAACAGGATTTCCAGCGGTGAGTGGTTGAAGGAAGAGCAGTGCCCCAAGTGCTGTGGCTCAGTCACAACTGGAGAGAGGCGTCCCGCCTACCTCAGAGCAGTGTGCTCCAGCCTGACCTCACTTCCCCTTTCTGCTCAGCCCACAGAGAGAGAGGTCCAGGCCCCACCAGCAGGCAACCAGTCCCTGTCCAGGGAGCTGACACCTGAGGCTTCCCTGAAGTCAGAATCTTCTCACTCCTTGTGTCCCTGAAAGACCCACCAGGCCACCATCCCAATGTGGAGGAGGATCTGGAAGGGGTCAGGCCCTATGGTAGAGACTTGAAAGTTGCGGAATCAGAGATGTCCCCACAGATGAGCTGCCCTGGCACATTAGAGCTCCAGAAGAGGGGAGTCTGACACTCACCCAGAGATAGCCAGTAAGAAATCAGCTCATGAGTGACATACCATCCCACAATAGAGCAGCTCTTGCAAACTGTGGAACTCTGGGAACTGCTGACCCAGTTTCTGCCTGGGAAACTGAAGAAGAGTCCCCATTGAGAAAGGTACTTGAAAGGCTGCATCAAGAAATGGGTCCAGGGCTTCCCTGGTGGCCCTGCGGGTTGATCGCCATGCTGTGAAACTGTCCACAGCCTCTGCAGCACGGGTTCGATTCCCAGCCGGCCAGAGAGATACCCACATGGTGCAGCAGATCTCTCCTGCCTCGCCCACTGCTCCCCTCAGCAGTGTCTTTGTCTGTCCGCGTGTTCTGCTCCCCGCTTTGTCTCTGGTGAATTCTTTCACCCTCCCATGTCTCTGACCTGTACCCCAGTTCTTGTATAAATAAATAAAAATCTTAAAAAAAAAAAGAAATGGGTCCAGCTGACTATTATTTTGACTGAGTTGGCTTTCTTCTCCCAACTCATGACTGAGTCTTTTAAAACGGAACTGGAAGTGGGGAAAACGAGTCGACCATTTTGTTAATTGACACTTCTGACTGCAATGAGCAGTCATGTTGGAAAAAATAGCCAAACTGTTGTGCTTTGGATCTGCTCCAATTAAACAAATTATTATTATTCTCAGTAATAATGATAATACCCTGAGATGTCTGATAAATGTTTAGCAACCGACTCTCCAGAAACAGAAAGCTTTGTAGTGTCTGCTAATTTCTATGATGTAGATATTCCCACCATGGCCTATTTGAAGCTACGAACAGGATGTCACTGGAGTTGGAACTGGGAGCACATGTGCACAAATGGCCATGCACCACAGAATCAAGAAACCTCATTATTGATCACCTACTGGGAACCGGGACCCGAACCCAGTGCTTTCTCTCCTTAGCTCACCGCGTCTTAATTTCCCTGAAGGGTTATCTCCATTTTTACAAGTGAGAAAATAAAAACTCAGGTAGATTACATCATGAATCAACTCTGCACAGCCAGAAACAGGTCTTTGAACCCAGGTCTGTCCATTTACAAAAGCTGTGCTCTTTCTTTTGGTGCTGATTCAGTTTATCCGCTCCCAAACTTCCTGAAAGCATGATTGAAATGCTTTTTTTAAAAAAAATTTAATGTAGGGCCTCCCCCGTGGCGCAGCGGTTGAGCGCTGGGTTGTGAAGCTGCCCGCAGCCTCTGCAGTGCCGGTTCGATCCCCAGCCACCAGGCGAGGGCCCCACATGGCTGTCAGACCTCTCCTGCCGCCCACTGCTCCCCTCAGCAGTGTACTTCATCACTCTGCCTGTTCTACTCTCTGCTCTGGCTCTGGTGAATTCTCTCGCCCTCCCGCGCCTCTGACTGTACCCAGTGCTTGTATAATAAATAAATAAATCTTTTAAAAAAATTGAATGTAATACCATCGTTTTACATCCCTGTCAACATATATATATATATATATATATATATATATATATTTAAATCCTTTTAATATTTTGACAGTATAGGTTTTCTCCCTTCAGGTGTGGTCACCGTTGCTCTCCACCACCAAGCACCCACAGTCCTCTACCGTAGTTCTTTGTACTATACCTCTCCTCCTCCTTCAGGTGTCTGATCAGCTTTCAAGGGTAGGTTTTATTTTTTTTTTTTTTTATTTTTTTTTTTAAAATATTAAATTTTATTTTTATATTCCCCCATACAATTCAACGCCCCATTCTGACCCCAATCCTTCCCCTCCCGCCCCCCCACCCCCCAAAAAGTGTCTCTGGTTCATAGTTTTTTGTTGATTTTTGATTTTCACTTTCTTATATTCATTTTCCTGGTCCCCTTATTTAAGTTTTCTAGATTCCTGCTATGAGTGAGACCATCGGTATTTTCTTTTTCTTTTGGCTTATTTCGCTGAGCATGATCCCTTCCAGCGCCATCCATGTTGCTGCAAATTGCATGTGTTTATCTTTTTTGAATGCTGAGTAATATTCCATGGTATATATGTACCACATCTTCTTGATCCAGTCATCTATTTTTGGGCATTTGGGTTGTTTCCAAAGCTTAGCTATTGTAAACAGTGCTGCTATAAACATAGGAGTGCAGGTGCTCTTTGGAATTGATGTTTCTGTGTCCTTTGGGTAAATACCTAGGAGTGGAATTGCTGGATCATATGGAAGCTCTATGTTTAGTAGGTCCAGAAATCTCCACACAGCTCTCCATAGTGGTTGGACCAGTTTGCACTCCCACCAACAGTGCACAAGAGTTCCTTTTTCTCCACATCCTCGCCAACATTTGTTGTTGCTAGTTTTTTTAATATGTGCCATTCTCACTGGTGTGAGATGGTATCTCATGGTAGTTTTGATTTGCATTTCCCTGATTACAAGTGATGTTGAACATTTTTTCATATGTCTGTTGGCCATTTGCATTTCCTCTTCAGAGAAGTTTCTTTTTAGCTCTTCTGCCCATTTTTTGACTGGATTTTTTCTTTGTTGTTGCTGAGTCTCATCAGCTCTTTGCAGATTTTGTGATCAGTCCTTATCATTAGTGTTGGGTGCAAAAATTTCTCCCAGTTGGTGGGGTTTCTCTTTGTTTTTGTTATTGTCTCTTTTGCTGTGCAGAAGCTCTTTAATTTGATGTAGTCCCAGCTGTTTATCTTTGTCTTCACTATCACTGCTTTGGGTGATGTGTCTGTAAAGATGTCTTTGATGTGCAAATCCCGTAGTGTTTCGCCTATATTTCCTTCTATGTATTTTATGGTTTCAGGTCTTATGTCTAGTTCTTTAATCCATTTTGAGTTGATTTTTGTGTATGGTGTGAGGTAGTGGTCAAGCTTCATTCTTTTGCATGTAGCGACCCAGTTTTCCCAGCACCATTTATTGAACAAACTTTCTTTGCTCCAATGCATAGTCTTTGCTCCTTTGTCAAAGATTAGTTGACCATAAATCTGTGGGTTTATTTCTGGATTTTCTATTCGATTCCATTGGTCTGTATGTCTGTTCTTGTTCCAATACCATGCAGTTTTGATGATTATGGCTTTGTAGTATAGTTTGAAGTCTGGGAGTGTGATGCCTCCATTTCCGTCTTTTTTTTTCAGTAGAGCTTTGGCTATTCGGGGTTTTTGGTGATTCCATATGAATTTCATCAATAATTGTTCTATTTCTTTGAAGAATGCCATTGAGATTTTGATTGGAATAGCATTGAATCTGTATATTGCTTTTGGAAGGATGGCCATTTTAATAATGTTTATTCTTCCAATCCATGAGCAGGGGATGTCTTTCCATTTCTTTGTGTCTTCTTCTATTTCTTTTAACAGTGTTTTATAGTTTTCTTTGTATAGGTCCTTTACCTCTTTTGTTAGATTTATTCCCAAATATTTGATTTTTTTTGTTTCGATAATAAAAGGGGTGGTTTTTTTGATTTCTTCTTCTTCAGATTTATTGTTTGTGTATAGGAAGGCTACTGACTTTTGCGTGTTGATTTTGTATCCTGCCACTTTACTGAATTGATTGATGAGTTGAATTAGTTTTTCTGTGGAGATTTTGGGGTTCTCTATGTATATTATCATATCATCTGCAAATAGTGATAGTTTGACTTCTTCTTTTCCTATTTGGATTCCTTGGATGTCTTTCTCTTGTCTTATTGCTCTGGCTAGGACTTCCAGTATTATATTGAAAAGCAGTGGTGAGAGTGGACATCCTTGTCTTGTTCCAGATCTTAATGGAATTGCTTTCAGCTTTTCACCATTGAGAATGATACTGGCTGTTGGCTTGTCATAGATGGCCTTTATGATGTTGAGGTATGTTCCTTGTATCCCAAGAATTTCAAGGGCTTTTATCATGAATGGGTGTTGCACTTTGTCGAAAGCTTTCTCAGCATCTATTGATATTATCATATGGTTTTTATATTTCTTTTTGTTGATGTGTTGGATAACGTTGATTGATTTTCGGATGTTAAACCATCCTTGTGCCCCTGGAATGAATCCAACTTGGTCGTGGTGAATTATCTTATGGATACATTGTTGGATTCTGATAGCTAAAATTTTATTGAGGATTTTTGCATCAGTGTTCATTAGGGAGATTGGCCTATAGTTTTCCTTTTTGTGTTGTCCTTATTCGGTTTTGGTATTAGTGTAATATTGGCTTCATAGAACGTGTTTGGTATTGTCCCTTCCTTCTCAATTTTTTGGAAGAGTTTGTGAAGGATAGGCACTAATTCGTCTCTGAATGTTTGGTAGAATTCATTTGTAAATCCATCAGGTCCTGGGCTTTTGTTTTTGGGAGGTTTTTAATTACCATTTCAATTTCGCTGCTTGTAATTGGTCTGTTTAGGTGTTCTATTTCTTCTTTATCTAGCTTTGGGTGATTGTAGAGTTGTAGGAATTTGTCCATCTCCTCTAGATTGTTGAACTTGTTTCCATATAACTGTTCATAGTAGTTACTGATTATTCTTTTGATTTCTGCTGTGTCCGTTGTGATTTCTCCTCTTTCATTTATGATTCTGTGTATTTGTGCTTTCTCCCTTTTTTCCTTTGTGAGCCTGGCTAGGGGTTTGTCTATTTTATTTATTTTTTTCAAAGAACCAGCTCTTGGTTTCATTGATCTTTTGGATTGTTTTTTTAGTTTCAATTTCATTTATTTCTGCTTTGGTTTTTATTATTTC